ACTCGGGCTCCCCACTTCAGAGGAAAGAGCCACTGAAAACTGTGCAGAGTTGGAAACATTGTCAGATATCGAAGGCCTAATGATTGGAAGCAGAACGTTGTCAGAGATTGTGCCCGAAGATGGGCCTTTCAGATCCAAGGGTACTTGAAATGTGACTGAGGAGGAGATGATTTCTTGGAGTACAGTCAGTCATAGTGACATGAGTAGGGTAAAGCCTGTGGGACTAGAGTCGTCGGCATCTTAGAGTCGTCGGCATCTTACTCTGCTGATAGTACATGACTCACGGTAAGGAAAAATAGTTGCAAAAATCTGATAATGATTGGAATGTAGAATGTGTGGAAATAGGAACCTAGGAAAATTGGGACTGGTCAAAAAATGAAACTAAGTGCCTAAAGATTGCTATCTTAGGCAATAGTGAAATGAAATGGACTGGTATTGGCCATTTTGAGATAGAAAATCCTATGATACACTATGCAGGGATTAATACAATCAAGAGGGATGGCATGGCATTCATTGCCAAATGGATGTTTGTGATAGGATTATTTCTATCTGCCTTCAAGGAAATTCAGTTAATACAACTATTATTCAAATATGTGCACAAACCACAAAAGTTAAGGTTGACGAAATTGAAGAATTCTACCAACATCAGTCACAAATTGGTCAAACATGCAATCAACATGCATTGATAATTATTTGCAATTAATTGGTAATTAACTGGATAATTAAAGCAAAAGTTGGAAACAGAAGAAGGAGCAGTACTTGGAAATGTGATCTTAGTGATAGAAATGAAGCTAGAGATCACATGATAGAATTTTGCGAAACCCACGACTTGTTCATAGCAAATATATTTTTTCAACAACATCAAAAGCTGTTCTACCCAGTCCTTCTCCAGATAGAATCCTCTGAAACCAAATGGACTAAATCTGTGAGACGAAATGCAGCAGCTAAAACTAGAGCAGGGTCTGACTGTGGAGCAGACCATCAACTGCTCATATGTAAGTTCAGGATAAAGCTGAGGAAAATGAAAACAAATCCACAAGAGCTAATATACAACCTTGAGTCTATCCCACCTGAATTTCCAGAATATCAAGAATAGATTTGATGTCCCGAGGAGCTGTGGGAAGACAGGAAGAACATCATTCATGAAGAACATCATTCATGAAGAGCATCATTCTTGAAGAGCATCATTCATGAAGAACATCATTCAGGAAGAACATCATTCATGAAGAGCATCATTCATGAAGAACATCATTCAGGAAGAAAGAAAAAGGTCATCAAAAAGGACAGAAAGAAAAGATCAAAGTGTCTTATTGTTTTCACTTATAATAGTGATAGACTGTGTCTGTTTAGAGCTTTCTTTCACCATTTCAGTTCCCTGTCTTAAATTTCTGTATTTAGGAATTTTAAGCTATATTTCAAGAATAAAAAGGAAAATCTCATCCTGTTTATATTTTCCTCTTAGTTTTCAGAAAGAGTCTTTCCTTCTATTCCTTTTATTTGTTTTCTATATTCAGTTTCATATCTCATTTGTACCACACGACCTGTAGTCAGATTTTAAAATCCATATGCCTTAGGCCAAAATGATCATTTTAGAATCCTCATTTCTTTCCAGCAAGCTTGTGCTTCATAGCATGCTGTGTTGTTAGGTACCCCCAGACATCGCTGTTGGTACTGACAAACCATGACTTGCACAGGGACACTCATTCTCATTCGTTTTTTCTGAGTGCTTTTCCCCACTACTTTCTCTTGGTCAAGAAATGAATATTGGTTGAAGAAATGAATTTTGTTTCATTAGATTCTCCTTGGTGCCTTTCTGTTGTGTCCTTAAAGGAACGTTCTTCCGTTCTTTATAAAAACCTTACAAGCCTAGGTACATTAAGCCATTTTCCAGTTATGATTTGTTTATGTAACTTTCAGATGGATATTTTTAGCTTATTTTTGCACCCTAGTGATTTATTTTAATATACCTAGAGAAAAACATCAGTAAACCATCTCACCCTTTTGGCTAGCAATAATGTCAGAAGTACTAGTTGTTATTTCAATTTTAACCTTTTTATTGCAATATCATCATCTTCTGATACTTAAATAATCTCATTGCCACTGACATATTCCAAAACAAGAGTTATATTATTACATGTGTATAATGTTGTATTTACTGTTTGGATTTGCCATAAATTTTCCCAGTTCTTTCATTTTTTACTAATATATTATTAGTAAATACTATTTAAATCTTTTCTGTTTCAAGGGCTGACAGAATAAAACCCTGTCTGGTAATTTCAAATGTATTTCAGTGACAAAGAATTTGCTAATCTCTATATGTTAGCATTTCCTACAGTATACCATACAATTGGTTTTATTCTTCTCTTATTTCAGACATTATATGTTTGTCATAGATACTACATATTCTTTAGTTAAAAGATCATGTTTTACTTACTCTATAAAAATGTTCCTTTACACTGGATCATGTTTACCTTTAACACCCCCCTCCTCACCTCACACATTCCCATTCTACTGTCTGTAACCATGAACAAACAGAAACTCAGATATAATCTCACAATTTGCTACCCATTTAAACATTGTTTTTATCTGAGGCTTCTTTTCCTATCTGGAAAATTCCCCCCAAATAAGGTCCTCTCTTTACCCAAGGCTTTGGACCCATTCTTCCTGGATCAATCATGGCCAAAGAAGTAAAACTAGAATGTATTTGTAAAATGTAAGTGAACTAGAATAATAACCAGAATAGGGAAAATTGAAAGTCAATGCCCTGCTAAAAATTTAATTCTTTAAAAACAGGGCCAGTGTGCATGAATACATAGCAACCAAATCTCTTGACTGGTAGAGTGGGAAACGGCAGGACTAAGTTCAAATTTGCCGACTGACCTTATTGCTTTGAATGTGTATTGCTCTCCACTGTCCTGGCAACAATCTACTCGCCAGCATCAGAATCCTCCAAGTCACCTAATCCAAGACCTCACCTTGTAATTTTTTCTGTTCTGGTTATTACTCCACTCACTAAAAATGTTTAAATTGCTTCATTAGCTATAACTGAACCAGTTTGAAGCCCTCCTTTTACCTTCCCCATCTAATTTGTTACAGAGACTAAATATTCAAGAGTTACCTCATTGATTGTCTGTGATAACATTCAGGGAAGACATCTTATCCATTCAGACATCATTTACTGCGGCATTTACATCTCTTCACCTGGAATAACAATGCATTAATATATATACAGAAGAATTCAAAGGATATCAATTCACTATCGTTGAGTCAATTCCAACTCATAGCAACCTATTGGACAGGACAGAATTGCCCCTGGGAGTTCCTGAGACTGTAATTCTTTATGAGAGTAGAAAGCCTTGTCTTTCTTCTTGGGAGTAGCTGGTGTTTTCAAACTACTAACCTTGTAGCCCAATGTGTAACCACTACACTGCCAGGATTCCCTAAAATACTTCTAAGAGCATAAGTTTTAATTTGCAAATCAGTATTATAAAAATTTAACATTTTACATACAGTATTTATGTAAAAATAGCAGGTTGTTGGAAGTTTTACTGGAATGATTGATCCAGTCCATAATTATATTCCAATTTCAGACAAATTAAGACATTGAACAGAAGAAAAAAATAGATGGATGCTTTTGTAAAATTTGTGTTGTAGTATGTTCCTGAAGGTGTTTGAAGTTCTCAGGAAGGCAACCTACTCTAATTGGTGGTCGCAACAATCAGGATCTACAATTACTGCTTGTGTTGCAAGGATGCTTGCCCTCTGGTTTACTTTATATTCCTAATGGGAAAATGTTTCCCTAATTTTTCCTCCTCAAGAGAAAATAAACCATAGCTTTATGGAGACTTAAGACCTATTTTTTGTTGTTGTTGTGTTTCCCTAAGTACTAGGAAACAAGCAAACAAGCTGCTGAGAAAATTTATTTGCCATGGATTGGCTGAATAGAAATGAGAAAGAAACTAGTGGAAGCATCTTAATGAGATATTTAAGAATTAAGAGATAAATGTTGAGATAGTTTATTGTGCCAGCCTGGCCGATAAACACAAGTGGGATTAACTGAAGGGCAGAGAGATAAATGCCTTGGTGAGTCTCGCCTTTCTTGTCTCTCGCTCTTTGATCATCGGACCAGTGTGTGGCTGCCTTGCTTGTCCTGTGCCTCAATTTAAAGGCTACACTACCTGTGGGACGCCTAGCCTGTGGACTGTGTCACTGTAAGTTGAGGTCCCTTTAAGACATCGCTGGAGCTGGGGACTGGCAGTTGGTGACCTGGCTGGCAGTTGGTGACCTGCCTTGTGATTGGCTGCTGTGCTGACATAGCCTAGCTCTCTCTATAAATAGAGGAAGATCTGGCAGCAGTTGGGACTGGAAGGACTGCTAGTCTCTTACATTTCTCTCACGGCAGTGAGCTGAATTGAGCCTCTGTAGTGCTTTATAATTTAACTGTTTCTTTCTTGTATTATATATTTAACTGTATATGATTTAACAGTTCATTCCTTGTTATATATCTAATTATCTTTATAAATAAATATATTAAATTATCAGCAATTTGGTTTTATCTCTCTAGAGAACCCTGTCTAACACAAATGTATAGGTGGTCATTGCACTTGAAAAATTTTATCATATTGCTTACTGTTTATTGCTATACGAATCTTCCCATCTTAGAAACAATTCTGTTTTTATCATTGTTGGTTTTATGCTCACTTATTTTTGTGTTTACTCTCCATTCTTAATATAAATTATACTTGTAATATATCAAAAACAGGTTTTTGTTTGTTTGTTTTTGCATATGCCAATTTCCCTTTGTTTAACAGTGAAACAAGGCCTGTGTTAATGGTTTTTTGTTTTTCCTTCTACCAAGAGATGGCTCCTTTTGGTCTTTTTGTACACAGTAATACCTAGACACAGGTGTTATATAATTCCAAATTGGTTGTTTGTATCTAAATCTAGTATACAACAGATATATGAAAGTTCACAGTGTTCTTAACTATATTCTTTTCTAGGAGAAGATGGGAAAGCTGGAGAAGGTATAGTGAAGTTCAAAGAATACCAAGACAAGGATTCCAGATTGGGTATATTCATTAACCACAAAAACTTAATTAAGGAAAGAAGCATTATTTATGGGAAAACATTTACTCCAGGCAAGAACCAAATTTCAAAAACACTATGTAAATATAAAATGAATGGGAAAGTTTTGAAAAATATTTCAGAATTAGCCATTAGGAATATAAATCCTATAAAAGAGAAGTTTGGTGAGAGTAAAGGATGGGAGAAATCACTCCTCAGTACTAAGCATGACAAAATTCATCCTATGGTGAATCTCTATAAGCAAACAGAGAAAAGTCTCATTTGTAAACAAGAACTTATTCAGTATCAGAAAGGCTACATTCCAGAGAAACTATTTGAACATAATGAATATGAAGAATCCTTTCTTATGGAAGAAATGTTATTTACTCATACCAGAGTTCACAGAGGTGAAAGACCATTCGAATATGATAAAGACGGAATAGCCTTCATCCAAAAGTCAAATACTGTTGTCCATCCACAAACTCTTATGGAAAAGAAGCCCTGTTCTTACAGCAAATATGGAAAATACTTATATAGGAAATCTGTTTTTATAATGCATGAGAGATCTCAAACAGAGGAGAAACCCTTTCAATGTCCTCACTGTGGGAATGGTTTTAGGAGGAAGTCTTACCTCATTGAACACCAGAGAATTCACACAGGTGAGAAACCTTATGTTTGTAGTCAATGTGGAAAGGCCTTCCGTCAGAAGACAGCACTCTCACTTCATGAGAAAACACATATAGAGGGGAAACCCTATATTTGCATTGATTGTGGGAAGTCATTCCGCCAGAAGGCAACACTCACCAGACATCACAAAACACATACAGGGGAGAAAACCTATGAATGTACTCAATGTGGGAGTGCCTTTAGAAAGAAGTCATACCTCGTTGATCATCAGAGAACTCACACTGGAGAGAAACCATATCAATGTAATGAATGTGGGAAGGCTTTCATCCAGAAGACAACCCTCACTGTACATCAGAGAACTCACACGGGAGAAAAACCTTATATTTGTACTGAGTGTGGAAAATCCTTCTGCCAGAAGACAACCCTCACTCTCCATCGGAGAATTCATACAGGAGAAAAACCCTATGTTTGTAATGAATGTGGAAAGTCTTTTCGCCAGAAGGCAATCCTCACTGTTCATCAGCGAATCCACACTGGAGAGAAATCCAATGGATGTCCTCAGTGTGGGAAAGCCTTTAGTAGGAAGTCAAATCTCATCCGTCATCAGAAAACTCACACAGGAGAGAAGCCATACGAATGTAAAGACTGTGGAAAATTTTTCAGTTGTAAGTCAAACCTCATTGTCCATGAGAAAACTCACAAGGAAAAACTGGGAATATATTGAGTGATATGGCTTTTTTTTGTAAAAACCTATATTAGTAAACTGTATACACTAGAAGTATATTAAATGCCATAGTTTAAGGTACTGTACCATATATTTACCTACTGTTTGCTAGCCTATATAATACCAAAAATACTTATTAGACAAATGACAAATGTCATTAAAAATAAGCCAAATTTTAAAATATTCGAGCTGATAAACATCCTCTCTCTCAAACTGCTATAATCATTTTACATTTCTTATTTTAATATATATCTTATTGTGAATGAGTAATAAACATTTGGCCGACTAGCAGTTGTCCATGGAGATGTGATCTGTATTTCTCATTGCAATATGAAGTAAAAATTAGTTGTCACCTAGTCAGTTAACCATGATAGTGGCTTCTAACATGACAAATTAGTTTTTGCTTATTATAAAACTATATGTTTAAAAATACAATACATAAAAGGAACCCTGGTTGCATAATGGCTACATGTTCAGCTGCTAACCATCTAGCCACGCTGTAGGAGAAAGACAGGTCTTTCTTTGTATCTGGCTCTGCGGGAATCCAGCTGCCAGGAAAAATCCAATCTGCTTCTATAAAGATGATATCTAGTAAGCAGTTGCCTCATCTCATATAAAATAGTATGAGTCAAAATGGAGTCAACGGCATTTAACAATATTAAGCACTTTTTCATGTATAAATGCTCTAATCATCATTATTGAATGTAACAGAAATTTACTTATGTTTGTATGTGTATTCTGTGTAGAGTTCTATTGTAAGGTTATGTCACCATTCTGTTGTTAGATAGAAATTTTCATCGTTCACAGCCTAAAGTCATATCAAGTAATGTTTCTTTGAGCATATTTGGCTTTGGGCATGCATATATAAGAATTACTTTTGTGTAATATACCGAGTTGAATTGCTAGGCCCTGGGCCATACTATGTTTAATCAGTTTTGAGATACTGCCAAACAACTTAGAGCTTTCACAGCATAATTCATTGTAAATGGAATACAACTGTAAACATCAATATAATGGTGGTTCAAACCAGAAATTATAGATATAATACATGGAGACAGGTGCTTTTTTTTTTTTCAAGTCACAGAGCAATCCTTATATTTACTGTCACACACGTAATAAATGTGGGCTTAACTTTAGTCACAAGTAATGCCTTACTGAAATTTTTAAAGAATAAATCTAGGAAAAGGGAGTTACTTTATAATTTTCTTGTTCAATATCAGAGTATCTTCCTTGCTTATCACCAGGAAATATAGTTAGAGAAAAACCCTGGCTTGAATGAAAGGGGATATCATTTAACAGTGATCTACATGTCATATAAAAATAAGAATATGAAAAAGCCTATACCCATCCTAGTGTACTCTTTATATAGCATCAAAGAAAGGAAGACTAAAAAGGGAACAGATGAGACTTGGGACTCTGACTCTGTGGGAAGCCAGCTGCCATGAAAAGACCAATCATACTGAGACTGTGATACAAGAAGAATCCACTGTAGGCACCTGGTTTGTACCCTCACTTGAGATCCCAGTCATCAGGCATTATCAACTGCCAGCCATATGTGAATGACTTTCAGTGCAAGGTTCAAACAGCACCTTGTGTATACTACTGCCTCAGGATTCAGAGGCAGATTATGAAGCATCACAAAGATATTTTAAGAGTTTTTCCAATTCAATTTTTAAAAACTATAAGCTCCTACAAAACATGGTTTTTTTAGTTGTATGAGCCCCTAATAAAATGTTAAAAAAAAAACGAAAAAAAAAAACACCATGGTTTTTTATAACTTGTGTATGAAGAGGCTTTAAAAAGTTAATGGGAAAAAGGAATGAAAAGAATAGAACTTTCCCATGAAATGTTAGAAGCCCCTCCTACCCCCTGCTACCCTAATAACAGATTGTATACAGTGCATCTCAAACATGAAGTTTTCTTGCTAGATAATTTTTCCAGCAGTTTTATTGGCACATAATTTATATATCATACTATTAAATAGTTCAATTGGTCAATCATATCAAGGAGAATTGTACTATCATCACCACATCAATTTTAGAGGATTTCACCACCACCCCTCCCCATGGTTAAATTGCCTTTAAAATGAGTTCTGCAATCAGAATCCATTTTAGTGCTCCCACCCCACCTCCCACCTTCGTTATTTACTCCTGAAATCCCCTTTCCCTCCCTAACACCCACCTCCCCACCCCTGTTTTCCTTATGTACCCTTGTATCAGTTAGTATCATGCATCCACTCCTCCTGTGCTTCGCAGCTGGGAGACTTAACAAAAAGCAATAACAAAATCATGCTACTGTGGTAAAATACAAATAATGTATATGAAGGAAAAGATCCTCAACAACATTCAAAAAGCCAGGGAATAAATTTCTGTCATGGAAACTTGTACCCAGAACAGATTCAGGTCATGTCTTTAGGGTGGTCAACTGGACAAGTATCAAGTTCAATCCAGCAGAATCAAGATTACAATGGTCTCTGCCTGATAGTAAGGCTGTTTAAGATTGTCAGCTAGAGCATCTGCCAGTGGCTCAGTCTGACTAGATACTCTGCAGGTGGGTTTTGGGTTCCCACTGTCCCCCTTAGCCCTCCACAAATTGGGTGTTCATAATTTTTTCTCTGATGCTTTTCTCACCATATTTAAATTTTGCAATTGTCATCTTGGGATCACACAAGCTGGTGTGCTTCTTCCACGTGGACTTAGTTGACTCCTTACTTAGATGGTTGCTTGTTTGAATACAAGCCTTTTAAGACTCCAGACATTATTCCCATTGATAGCCAGGCACCATATGCTTTCTTCACCGCACTTTGCTTTAGCACCCTTAGCTAGATAATTCTTGAATCACCATTTAATTTCTGAGCAAACAATAAATCCAGGCTTGTCATGCACTCTTGCTTCATAAGAAATATGTAATAGCAAAAGCCACACACCTCAACTCTGGTCTCCATTCATCTGAGATGTTTACCCATTTGAGATATTCATTAGTTAATAATCCAGGGCTTTTCAAAGCCTTAGGTATATACTACCAAGTGATAACAAGGGTGTAGAAAGACTGGACTCACGTATATTGTTAATGCGAATGTAAAATGTTACAGCCTCTCTGGAAAACAATTTGTTCGTTTCTGAAAAAATTAAACACATTTACCATATAACCCAGCAGTATCACTTACGGATCTTTATTCTAGAGAAATGAAAACTTAGGTTCACACAAAAGTTTTCATGATTGCATGATTGTTTGTACTGTTAATTATAATCACCAAAAAATGGAAACCCAAATGGTCTTAAATGGGTAAATAAAAGGGTAAGTCAAAGAGGATTATTATAATATCAGAAAACTTATTAAGCAAAGGTCAAAATGTAAAGCTACTGTTTCTTGACATAACCTCCCTCTAAGTCTGAGCATGGATGAAGGCAGTGTTTCTATCTTTTTACTCTTCCTTTAAAGAATTGTGTGCCCTTTGATTTATGTCACATCAAAATGGCAGTTTTAACATCCTCAAAATTATGTTCCTTTTCCATGTTCTTTGAGCTTTGGGAACAAAAAAAGTCTGAGGGGGGAAGATAATCAAGGCTATAGGATAGATGGGGTAAGGTTTCCCAGTAAAGTTCTTGTGGTACTTCAAAGAATGAGCATTGCATTATTGTGATGGAAAAAAATTTCTTGGTACCACTTTCTTGGCCTTTTCTTCACCAATGCAGTTATCAGTTTTCTTGAAATTTATTAATAATCTCCTATGATCATCCTGTGTAGTTTGAGAAAATCTAACAAGATTATCCCTTGAGGCTCCCACAAATCAGTCTCCATAAGTTTCTGTCTTTACCATGAATTTAACTGTCCCTACGTGATCTCAGAAAGCATCGTTTTCACTTGACCTTGTTGTCTAAACAAACAATAGTGGAAAATCCAAAACTCATCCTCAGTTCTAATCCATTTCATAAGATCATTTTCATCAGTTTTGATCTTGCTTAAAAGACTGAAGAATAGATCAGTTCTTTGAGCTAGATGATCTTTGTGAAACACTTTGGCATCTATGGAGCTGAAATCTTGCTGAGGCCAAAATGTTGCTTATGGTTGAAAATGTGAGATTCCAAGTTCAGTAACCATTGCATCAATGGTAATTCTTTGGTCTTCCATCAGGTTCTGCACATCACCATTTCTTCATTCATGGAGGTTAGCAGTCTTCCCTGTCTTGGCTTATCTTTGAGATGTTGACTTATCCTGATCTCTACCTGGTACCTCTAAAATCTATCGTTTTCTGTGGAGCAGCATTCCTTGTTTCAATGCTTCAATGATTTGGGAAGATGTTTACTTGACTTGTGTTAAAACAAGCAAGCCTTGTTTCAAGGCTTCAGTGATTTGGGAAGATGTTTACTTGACTTGGGGTAAAATTTTTAATTCTGACCTCAAAATTATTTTTTCAATTGGCACAAAAAATCCCTTCCTTTGCAGGCACCATAACAAATTAGACAAGAATAGTCCTGAGAACTTGTCTGCATCCATCCACTAATCACAGAGACATGTTTAAACATATTTTGTTGAGAATGCCCCCATGTATGTATGAACTGAAACTCTAGTAGCAATATTTTTTTACTTACCTTAATTTGTGATACATTCACATAATAGAATACTACTCAATAAGAAAATTAATGACATTGATATATACATGTATTATGATAAAGAAAAGAACCTAGTTAAGAATATATCAGCCATATGATTATAATTCTGTGACATTCTGGAAAAGACAAATTTGAGAACAGAACAGACCAATAGTTGCCAGGGTTAGAGGTCTGATTACAAAGGATTTCTTTATAAGTGTTGGAAATTATTCTGGATCCTGTCTTGTGTTTGTGGATACAAATATCCATGTATACAATTTTATTTTTTAAAGTTATTTTACTATTTGTAACTTTTAAAATAAACAAATAGAACTGTAGATATGTTCTCCAGCTCCATCATAAGCAGTTCCTCTTGGTTTATCACCCATTCCCACCCCAAAAAAAGAAGAAACATTGGACTGACCTCTGATTTGTATGTCCAGTAGCCTGTACATGTACACTGATCTTACCCATCTTTTCTCACAGTTGTTCCCCAGATCAGCTCACCCACAACCCATGTTAGTAGCCCCCCTTTAGCTGATTGGCCCTCCCCCTGAAGCTCCAGGCTTCAAGTCTGAGAGGGAACGTTGAAGAGCACATCTATGGGATAAGTCAGGCAGCCCCAGGGTTATGAGTGAATTACACCCTTAAGTACCTATAAAGTAGAATTTGTTGTTGAATCAGAACCAAAACCAATGGACTCACTGCCATTGAGTCCATACCAACTCATAGTGACCCTGAAGAACAGGGTAGAGTTGCTCTTGTGGGTTTCCAAGACTGACTCTTCACCGAAATAGCCTTATCTTTCTCTTGAGGAGCAGCTGGTGGGTTTGAAGTGCTGATCTTGGGATCAGCAGTCCAAGGCATAACCACTGCACCACAGAGCTCCCTGGAATGGCCTAGGTGCAAGAAAAGGGTTGACGACTTCAGTAATTTAAAAGCGACATGCGCAGCAAGTGATTGTGAAGGATTTGTTGTGAATAAGGGTTCATTTAGTGTTTCACAGGGAATTAAAATTTATGTCGAGTTTTTTATAATTCAGTCATTCATAACCTGTTTTATTTTTTTATGGTGTTTTCTCCAACAAACCACCAGTCATTGCACACACATCAGTGCACACATGATCACTAGGGATGATGGTAAAGAGCACTAATCTTGCTCCTAGCCCTTCATTCTCTGGAGAATTCTTATTTGGAATGTAACCCAAAACCCACTGCATTGCAATCAAGTCTGACTCATAGCAACCCTATAGGACAGAGTAGAACTTCCCCCTTTGGGTTTCTGAGACTAAATTTTAACTAGTCCAAACAGTCTCATCTCTCTCATAAGCAGTGCCATATAAAGGTCCCTGTGTAAACAGGCAGTCACTGGGTTATGAACATCTGGCTTAACATAAGCACTGAGTTAACAAACTAAGTCCTATAAAGCCTATTATATTAAAAATCCAAGATATTTAAAATGGTTTGTAATAACAGGTGCTGTTTTGTAACCTGCATTAAGCGGTATTACTGTATTATGTTAAATATGTTTAAAGTATAAGCAAGTAATGTTTTATGCATAAAAAGTTGACACTATCCTAAGACAAACATTTGGTTGGCATTAGATGTAAATTACATTGCATGTAAATTTGATGTAGAGACTGATTCAGGAAGAAACTCTCATACTCTGGAGACCCTCTATTGCATCCTAGAGGATGCTACAGGTAGTCCGGATTTACAATCGAGTTCCATGTAAGTATGTCATGGTCAAATGCCTCTTTCTCTTTTCTCCTTCATTATCAGTATCTATAAATCTATTCTTTGTCTTTGGAGTCTGAGCTTTACCTTCGGTGTTGGAAACAAAAATTTACGTACATTTTTTTTCCTCTCATAGCGATTTTATATAGGGGTTTTGAGCTGCAACTTTTTTTCTCATTTTATTGGGGTGCTCATACAACACTTATCACAATCCATACACACAATTGTATAAAGCACATTTCTACATTTGCTGCCCTCATCATCATCAATATATTTGCTCTCAGCTGAAGCCCCAGACATCAGCTCCTCATTTTTCCCCCTTCCTCCCAGCTCCCCGCTCCCTCATGAACCCTTGATAATTTATAAATTATTATTTTGTCATATCTTACACTGTCTGAGGTCTCCCTTCACCTACTTTTCTGTTGTCCATCCCTCAGGGAGGAGGTTAAATGTAGATCCCTATAATTGGTTCCCACTTTCAGCCCCATACTTCCAGTATAGCCACTCTCACCACTGGTCCTGAATGGATCATCTGTCCTGAATTCCCTGTGTTTCCAGTTCCTATACATAGAATTGGGATCATGATGGTGGGGGAAAGGAAGGATTTAGGAACTAGAG